ATCAACTAAATTTACAAATGTAATTTTAGTTATATAAGACTGTAATTTTATATTTTAAAGAAAATAATAAGTACATATTTACGTACATATTATTTTTAACAAAATTACAGTACACTTACATTTCAAATCAACTAAATTTACAAATGTAATTTTAGTTATATAAGACTGTAATTTTATATTTTAAAGAAAATAATAAGTACATATTTACTTACATATTATTTTTATCAAGATTACAGTGCACTTACATGTCAAATCAACTAAATTTATAAATGTAATTTTAGTTATATAAGACTGTAATTTTATATTTTAAAGAATTTAATAAGTACATATTTACTTACCCATTATTTTTATCAAAATTACAGTGCACTTACATGTCAAATCAACTAAATTTACAAATATAATTTTAGTTATATAGGACTGTAATTTTAAGTTTATTTTTATTTTTTATTTTAGTTTCAAATATCTTAATTTTTCAATGGTTAAAGAAATCAATTTTTATTTAGATGTTTAAGATATGTTAAATTTGTTGTATCGATTAGTACTTAATTTGACATGTAAATTAACATAGAGATATTTCTTAATTTGACATATGAAAATTACATACTTCACGTATTTTATTCACACGGCAATACCAACACACCTTGACTCCCTGTCGACCTCATCCACGGCAATTGCTGCACAAATCTTGGTGCAAAGATCATGTGGCCAAAAAAACATCAAATGCCAGGAAAAAAATCGCGGGAGATGTTTAGCAAAATCGGCTTTGTATAGTCCAAAAACTTCCTATTTCGAACATGAAATGGGCCCGTCATTATATGTGGGAATAAGTTCATCTGAGGTCTCTTAACTTGTCAACGAATCCGATTTTCGTCCTTGAACCGAAAAACCAGATACAACGGGTCCCTCAACTATCAAAACCAGTGCAGATTAGGTCCTTCAGCGGTTTAGATGGCGGTTTTGGATGACGTGGCGCCTACGTGGCTAATTTGACTTGTCTTCATCTGACGTGGCATTGACGTGGCGCTGATGTGTCAATTAGATTTGAAAAAATAATAAAACCCATGGGACCCATATGTCAGTTTCACATATAAAATAATAATAAATGGTGGGACCCACGTGGGCCCCACATGTCATATCTATCCTCTTCACCTTTCACCTTCCCCTTCCACTTCCCCTTCCCCGGCGTGTCGACGACGGTGCGGCAGAATGGGCAGGAGCGGGGTGCGGCGCCAGCCTCGAGCCAGGGAGTGCGCAGGCCCAGTGAAAGTGGCGGCCGTAGGGGAGGTGGGCCATGGCGTCGCCGGCGGAGAACTCCTCTAGGCACACGTGCACTCCGCCTGCTCCGCCGCGTCCCACCGCAGTCGACTCCACCGCATCAGCCGCCGCATCACCCCTTTCTTCGAGTACACCGCCCTCTGCACCCCCATCGCCGCCGTCACTGTCGATCTCCCCCCTCCACTGCTGGCTCTGTTCAGCTTGATGCTTCCTGTGCTGTGATGCCTGCAGAAACGAAACGACGAAAAACAATTCAGCAAAATTTCAATCCATCTTTCTTCTTTTCAAAAAAACAAATGATTTGATCTTTGCATCATCAGTTACCTCTTGATGACGGCTTCCATCTGGTTCCTCAGCTTCTGGTCCAGCCGCTCCTTCGCCTCCCAGGCATTGATGTCCATCGACCACCGATGGATGAGCTCCATCACACTGCTCCTCTGCTGCGAGTCCCCCAACAAACCAAACCAACCAATTCATCTCGTCGGTCAACCAATCAATCGAACAATCAATCCGTCGTGCGTACCTTGCCGGAATAATTCGCGGCGCCATCGACGTGTGCTTCTCCGGCGCCGGCGACCGGCAGCAAATTCACGTAGTGAACGGTGATCCTTCTCATGGCACCAGGCTGCCCCACGGTGGCCACCCGGACAAGACAAGTGTCAGGCAAGAACCAGTTTACCTGCAGATTATGGCGCACCAATTAATCAGTCAAGAACAAGATGCAACCTTCCTTGATTTAACCTCTTCTCTACAGATGTGGACATAAGAGGAGAAACTTTCTCCACCCCCGTGTCGCTCCAGGGCAGGGGCGACCGCCGCCGGCAGGCCACCACCCCCGCGCCCCTCCCTCCTCCGCCTCGCGTGCCGTCGCTGCCATGCACGAGAGAGAAAGGGTAAAGGGGAAGGTGAAAGGTGAAGAGGTGTAACGACCCGCCTCTCCCAGGCCGGGCCCACTTACATCTGGTAGCTTTTATAGCTCATAGACTGCCCTCACAGACTAACACATGTCTTTTCTGCAACACTTTGTCCTCACTCGTGTGCACCCGGGAAGAATTTCCCGGTCGGTCACCCATCCCAAATTGCTCCAGGCCAAGCATGCTTAACCCCCTTAAGAGAGATCGACGGGGGCACAGACTAACACATGTCTTTTCTGCAACACTTTGTCCTCACTCGTGTGCACCCGGGAAGAATTTCCCGGTCGGTCACCCATCCCAAATTGCTCCAGGCCAAGCACGCTTAACCCCCTTAAGAGAGATCGACGCCCCCGTCGATCAACCCCAGGCCAGGAACGTCCTCTCTTGGCCACCCAGCGCATGTGCCATGCTGTGTAACCACTCCCGATCTACACCAGCCATGCGCACCATGCCTGCGCAACTGCGACACACGCGCCCGTGAAACCTCACAGACCAACACATGTCTTTTCTGCAACACTTTGTCCTCACTCGTGTGCACCCGGGAACCATCCCAAATTGCTCCAGGCTAAGCACGCTTAACCCTGGAGTTCTTTGGAGATTGGCTTCCGGAAAAGAAGTTGCAACTTGTTGATATGAGTATTCTATTAATCTTATTAAGCCCTAGGCCGGGATGTTACAAGAGGATAGATATGACATGTGGGGCCCACGTGGGTCCCACCATTTATTATTATTTTATATGTGAAACTGACATATGGGTCCCATGGGTTTTATTATTTTTTCAAATCTAATTGCCACGTCAGCGCCACGTCAATGCCACGTCAGATGAAAACAAATCAAATTAGCCACGTAGGCGCCACGCCATCCAAAACCGCTATCTAAACCGCTGAAGGACCTAATCTGCACCGGTTTTGATAGTTGAGGGACCCGTTGTATCTGGTTTTTCGGTTCAAGGATGAAAATCGGATTCGTTGACAAGTTAAGGGACCTCAGATGAACTTATTCCTTATATGTGAGTACGTAGGCCATTCCAAGGCTTAAATGCAAAAAGTCTACTTTAACTCCCTTAAAAAAGTAGGTACAATCCTATTCGTACCCCTTAATCGGAAAACCGGATGACTACCCTAACTATTGAAATTGGTATAATTTGACTCCCTTAACCGTTTTGGAGTGTGGTTTAATTTCGCTGACATGGTGCTTAGACCCAGTCCAATCGGCTGACTCAGTGTTAGTGTCACATTTTCTTCATTCCTTTTTATTTTCTCTTTTTCTCCAGGGCAGTGGGTGGTGGTCAGCGGGGAAAGGAGCCAGACTGTGAGAGGGCCTCAACGTGACGGTGCTTGAGCAACGCAGCGGCCACAAGGAGCATGCGGCGTGCTTCGGCAGCCTGGGCCGACGCCACGAGGTTGGGTGGCTCACAAGCCGACTTACCTCGACTCGTAAAAACTCGTTAAGTTAAAGAGCTATCTTGGCTCGACTCGTTAACATAACAAGTTAAAAATGGAACTCGACTCGACACAATAAAAGTCTGAGTTGATTCATTAAACTCACTAAACTCGTTACACCGAAATACATGGTTTAAAATTCATATGCAGTATAATTTGTGATTTTATGACCAAAGATTATGATTGCCATGCTATGTATCATGACTCATAAGATTGTGCTATAATGTATAATTATGAGTTCACGACTTTTACACCTGCAAAATATGAACAATCAATTTCTATCTTAATGCATCATGAGCTCAGCGAGCTAACCAAGTAACTCATGAGCTAGCTCGAGTTGGCTCGTTAAGCAAACAAGTAAAAGTTCAAACTCAACTCGACTCATTAACTACTCAAGTCGACCCGAGTTTTACTCGAGTTGAGTTAGCTCATGAGTTTCAAGCTTTTGTGCACCCCTCACGAGGAGGGCTTCGAGCATCGCGGGAGCCACAGGGAGGGCACGGTGTGCTCTAGTGGTATGGGCTGACGCCACAGGGAGGGTGGCGTGGTCCGGCTGTCGATGACGTGACCCGCTTAGATCCGCTTGCTCCTCCTTGGGCCGCATTGTGCAATGCCTCAAAGTTGTGCCACTCTCCGCCACGAAGTCGTGCTGCGCTCCGACTCAGCTGCATCGTCACTCGGTTCATCTCGAATCGTGTACTTGTGTGGGAAGGGAGAAAGAGACATCGCCGCTCTCCGCCACGAGGTCGCGTCGTCGCTCGGTTCGCCTCGAATCGCTCGCAACGCGCTGCCGCCCCTACTACCCCTTTTCCGCTCCATGCCGCCGCCATCTACCGGGGGAGGTTGGGATATGGTGCCACGACCAATGCCGATGCGTACGGCTCTTTATCGAGGCCAGTGGCGTGACCCAACGTGGGGGTGCCACGTCTGATGGTGGTGCGCGGTTTTCCTTCGGGGCCTAGCTCCCTTGCTACTGCCGCTGTGCACCCCCTGTTGCCGTCGATCTGCTGCCCTGATGCTTCCCGCGGAGAGGAAGGTGAGGAGGGGATAGGGAACGAAGAGAAGAAAGGTAGCCCCACACACCAACTCAACCAGTTATACTAGGTCAAAGTACCGCATCAGCGAAACTGTCCTCCAAAACCTTCGAGGGAGTCAAATTATACTGGTTCCAATAGTTTGGGGAGTCGTCCTACCTAACTTTCTGATTAAGGGGTACAAATTAGATTCGGACTACTTTAAGGACTCAAAGTAGACTTTTTTCGGCTTAAATCCACATAGCCACGAGAGATGGTCCGCTGTACGGCCCAATTACTATATGGGCTCTTTCTTGGGGGATAAATGTGGGCCTACTACCCTTTCCTCCCAATCGTGGATTCGTGGTTCTGATCCAGTAAAGCTAGGGTTTTATTACTCCGCTCTGCCCGCCTCCTCCGCTTCGCACACCCCGCCGCGCCGGAGAATCGTCGTTGCTGGAGAGCGCTCTTCAACAACCGGTCGCCGACGAAGGCTTGGGAATCAAGAAGGTGGGAAGCCGGCATGGACTCCTTCTCGTCGTCGTCCGGGTCGCCCCCCAATACGGAGGCGCTCATGGACCAGATCAAGGCGCAGCTCGCTCAGGCCTACGCCCAGGAGTTCCTTGAGGTGAGATCCTCCCCACCCAAATCGTTTCCTCTCTTGTATCACGTTTGTTAATGCGAATCTGTATGGATGAATATTCATTAGGTAGGTGGATACTTGGTTTAGGTGACACTAGATTTCGCTGGTAGCACTCTACGGAAGCGAATATTTGGGGGTAGAATTAGTTTCCTGTTTTGTGGTTTTCCGTATTCTAGTACTAAAGTAATGAGCATCAGTATTCAGTAGCACCTTCAACAAGCTTAACAATAGCTTCGTTAGAGTGGTTTGATGTTCTACAAGTTACAACAGTTCCATTTACCGGATTGGAGGGCGATACAGTTTAAACATGTTGGCATAGGATGGATTTTAGTTTCTGTATCCTTGTATCTTGTATGATTAAATCTATACTCAATCCCATTACACTCCAGTAAGTCCTATTGTTTGCATAGGATGGCTAAAACTCATAAATTGATTTCCTTTGTCCAAGAAAAGGATTATTAACTTGGAACCGCTTAAGAAAGTATTATTAAATTGGAATCAACATGCCCATGCTGTGACTTTCATGCTCACTGTATCCATTGATTGTAATCTGCATACTGATACAAGTTGATCATACTGGTGTGCATTGCGTCCAAATGTCCAATTGAATCACACAATTGGATGTGGTGGCTCATCTGTTGATTTCTTTTGTTATTTTTACTTGGCATATACGGTTATACGGTGATGATTTCTTGAATTTATCAAGAAAACTGAGGATTGAAGAGCATAAATTTAACAGTCTTAATGCACACTTTAAGTACCAAGAGAAATTGGGGTTGATCGATATGCTGGCTGCTGTGGCTGCGCAGCAAGCACAGTTGAGCACACCCTTTGGTGAACTGTAACAACGTATTTGGAATAGGTGCATCAAACTCATCTATCATTTACAATACATATTGAATTTGGAAACTTAAAATGTTGTCTTGATGAGGTAAGATCTCCCCAGTCTAGTGATGACCACAACCTTGTAGGACTGATAGAAGGAACTTAGGATCCAGTACATATCCATGACTTAAGCATATTATAAAACCAATAGATATAATAGTAAACTATTTAAATTGACTGGACCAGGGACATCGAGTCACCTAGACTTTATAATACAGGCCTGAGTTTTGGTATATACTTCTAACTGTTGCATTTTCTATTTCAAGTGCTTTTCCTTTGCTTAAAACTATGGTGACATTTTGTATGTCTTTCACTTCTGTGTTCATTATATATTTGAACTCAACATAGAGTCAGAACTATTAACTTGTGCTGGCCTGCCACGACCAGAAAGGTAAAATATGTGTTCACAAAGTTAGCATTGAAGTTGACCCTTCCTGTTGCTACACTATTACTACGAAGTTTGACATATGAGTAATTAGGCTGCGTTCGTTCGGGTAACATTGAGGGAGATAACATCTCGTTTTCCGCGCGCACGCTTTCCAAATTACTAAATGGTGCGTTTTTTGTAAAAATTTCCTATAGGAAAGTTGCTTTTAAAAATCATATTAATCCATTTTTGAAATTTAAAATAATTAATACTCAATTAATCATGAGCTAATGGCTCACCTCGTTTTACGTATCTTCCCAATCTCCTCAATCACCTTCTCCTCAAACTCACCCTTAGTCTTGCTGATCAAGTGATTCTGCCACTGTTGGTTTACATGACATATATGTAATACAGATTACATGAGAAAAAGGGTAGTGTTTGAAATAAAACATGCCAATTCCAGGCATTGCTTCTTTGTTAAACACATGACATGGTTGTAATTCTCTCTTGTTTTGTTGTTACAGACTGTTGGAAACAAGTGCTTTGCCAAGTGCGTGACAAAGCCAGGATCAAGCTTGAGCGGGAGCGAGAGCAGTTGCATATCACGCTGTGTTGATCGTTACATTGAGGCAACTGGTATTGTCAGCCGAGCTCTGTTCAGTTCCACACGCTGAGCGACGATGTGTAGCCTTCAGTTGCTGCTTAAATCAGAATTGGGGAAAAATGTTTTTCCTAGACTCGTTATTTTTGCCTTTCTAATCTGTGAGAAAGAGAGCAACCTTTATATTAATTAAGTGGCAACTATTAGCTAAGCTGGTTTTCAGCTGTTAAAAGCCGCAAATTCTGCCTTGCAGTTTCTCTTAACTGTTTGTTTCTTTTGTTCCCCATGGGGCACTACCCTATCCTGATGGTAGTAGCATCGTTTGCATTGCTTGAGAGGACTGACCTGTCCTGCCGGTTGCTCAAGAACTCATGAGAGGCTGGTTGAGTAAATGAGTACATCCTGTTTAAGTTAAACTGATTCCAGTCGAAAGTCGAAACCAGCTTTGACTATAAGTCACTGACGGTCTGGCCCCACCGTTGAATCAGCTTCAGGCGGCCACCAACTGCAGCAGCCCGGCGGCCGCATGCCCGCATCGTCGCCCGTTCAACCCTCGTGCCGAGCTGACGTTTACCGGCCGGTTGCCGTGGCACGCGCGCGTTGACGCGCCTCCTCCTTCGCCGTCCCTCCTACCTGCTCGGCCTGGCTGCTCGCGTTTTTTACTCTGAACTCCCCGACCCGATCAACCACCGCGGCGCGTGAGTCCATTCATCCCCAAATCCACCCGAGAAAGAAAGGAAGCAAAGCGAAGCGAATCCAACGATTTTTCCCATGGAGCAGCCCAAGCCGCCGTCGGTAGCCGCCTCGGCGGCGGAGGCGCAGAACCCGAACGCCTTCACCTGCGAGCTGCCGCACTCCATCTACGCGCTGGCCTTCTCCCCCTCCGCGCCCGTCCTCGCCGCCGGCAGCTTCCTCGAGGACCTCCACAACCGCGTCTCCCTCCTCTCCTTCGACCCCGTCCACCCCACCGCCGCCTCCTTCCGCGCCCTCCCCGCGCTCTCCTTCGACCACCCCTACCCGCCCACCAAGCTCCAGTTCCACCCGCGCGCCGCCTCCGCGCCCCACCTCCTCGCCTCCTCCTCCGACGCGCTGCGGCTCTGGCTTGCCCCGCTCGACGATCTCGCCGCCACCGCCACCGCCGCCGCGCCCGAGCTCCGCTCCGTCCTCGACAACCGCAAGACATCCGCCTCCGAGTTCTGCGCCCCCCTCACCTCCTTCGACTGGAACGAGGCCGAGCCCCGCCGCATCGGGACCGCCTCCATCGACACCACCTGCACCATCTGGGACATCGAGCGCGGCGTCGTCGAGACGCAGCTCATCGCGCACGACAAGGCCGTGCACGACATCGCCTGGGGGGAGAACGGCATCTTCGCCTCCGTCTCAGCCGACGGCTCCGTCCGCGTCTTCGACCTCCGGGACAAGGAGCATTCCACCATCTTCTACGAGAGCCCCCGCCCGGACACGCCGCTCCTCAGGCTGGCATGGAACCGCTATGACTTCCACTACATGGCCACCCTGCTCATGGACAGCAGCGCCGTCGTCGTGCTCGACATGCGCGCGCCCGGGGTGCCGGTGGCCGAACTACACAGACACCGGGCGTGCGCCAACGCGGTCGCTTGGGCGCCACAGGCCACGAGGCACCTTTGCTCGGCTGGGGACGACGGCCAAGCGCTGATTTGGGAGCTGCCAGCGACGCCCGGCGCAGTGCCGGCCGAGGGGATTGATCCTGTGATGGTGTATGATGCCGGTGCAGAGATAAACCAACTGCAATGGGCGGCAGCTTACCCGGAGTGGATATCGATTGCCTTTGAGAACAAGGTCCAGCTTCTCAGGGTCTGACGAGGTTGGTTCCTTTGGCCCTTCATGGTTCAAATAGTCTATTGATTCATAGCATAATATTTTTAAGATTGAATAATGCTGATTCTAAACATTAGTATTAGATTTTGGGATTGTTGAATTTGATTTATCAGAAGCTTCTACATTATACTGCAAAAGTAACCTCATTCATCAGTCCTATAAAGGTTAGAATTTCCTAATATTGTTGGGTGAACTCAATTTGTGATGAACTGTCTGGTGGATATGTTTCTGGAATGATCGACAATACAAGATGCCTCATTTCCATACAAACTAGAAGGCATGATTATTATAGTGGTGTTGTACTTGCACCAACTGAACAAAGGTTATCGGTTCAAACCAAATCGAAACATCAATCAGCACACAAGCACTTTTTATGACACTTTGTCACCTTCATTTGTCCATTATTTCATCCTGTGATTGTACCACCTCCTCTGCCCCTTCCCTCAATGTTAGTCAGCACTGACCAGGATTAGATGAAATCTTCTTATTTTCTTGATGTCCTGGACTTGTGTCTATTTATGATCGTAAGTTATATTCTGACTGTTGATGGAAAAAAAAAACAGATTTAGACTATGCTCCATTCTTTTCATTATTCTGTTTACAAGGTGTAAATTCCCATCACAACAAGAGCCAACAAGGTATTTTGTTCAACATCAAATAAGAAGCGCTAACTAGAAGCAGAACCTAGTATGTCTGACTGCCATTTATCCTACCGTACTCGCACTTCAGATACTGTTTCTGGATATTATTGTCTATGTCAGTGTCCTTGTAATATATATGTTTCTTTTAATCTTAGTCCCAACAGTTCTAATTCTATATTGAGTAATTTGATATTTTTTGCAGCAGATTGTTTAATCTATCTGTATAAACATAAAGCCCATACAACAATTCCTAGGCCTCCCTGCTTACTCTTCTCTGGTGCAAGCTGCATTTTATTTGCTTAGATGATATATTCTTTAATGCCAGCATGACATACCGCCAAATTTCGCAATCCAAGCAATGTTCAAATCGCTTCACAACTGGGACATCAATGGAACATGGCATGGAATTTGATTATGTTCTACTTCGAAAATATTTAACTTCTCCTTCAGCTGCCTAGCATTTCTAATGTCTTGTGAATCATCTTAACCTTTGTCTATTATCGATGTAGTAACCCTGTACATTTGATATGAAACCCCCTTTTTTGCCATGCAGATGTTTTCTGAAGGATGTTCGACTCTGAAGCCTTGGCGTTTCTTCTATTCCATCAGTTCACATGTGTCTTATGTTGGTGATCTCTTGATATATTCATTACTCTACTCTCCTGCTAAGCTACGGAAAGCATGAAACTTGCAGCAAGGATTGATCTTGTGGCCAGCTTTAACTTGAACTTTGTGGAAGTTATCTGTGTTGTGAACATAGAAATATAGATACTAGCCTGCCAGTACAAGAATCAGCTGATGAATGGATAGATGGACTGCTCACTGCTCCTGCATTTAGTCCTGTAGTCATTTTCGTTTTTCTGCTCGTGCTGTGCTATTCATCGCGCTAACTTTCTTCATTTGCTTCTTGATAACATTATCATATGCTAATATAATATTTCCTGGATATTTGATCATGTTTAGGTTGTACAATGTGTCTTCTTTTCATACATATTTCCTGGAGTAGGATTTAGGTAGGGAGTAGGGGGGGTCTTCTCAACCACCAAAGAGGTCTGAAGAGATTATTTCAAACCTGTAATTAAAGCTTTTGAGGGCCTAGCAAAGATTTTGATGCCAACACATTCTCAGTCTTTTTTTATTCTACTCTGTATAACATCTCCATATGTTTTTCGATATTCAAACTTAGTGGAGTACTATGTTTTGAAATTAATTAATCCAGAGGTATGTAAATGCCCTGAAACGTAATTCAATGCAGTACAATATTCCATCTTCCGAGGGATGATGGGCTGAATTAGGTCCTTGGGCCATCTTCCGGTGGAATAATTTCACATTTGGTCCCTCAATTTGTTGCCTAGTCTGATTTCCATCCTCAATCTAGAAAACCGGATATAACCCATCCCAACTTACAAAACTATGCTGATGAGGTCCCTCGGCAGCATTGTGCCTAGTTTTGGATGACGTGGACGTGGCACCTACATGGCTCCTTTGACTAGATCCTCGTCCCACATGGCATTGACGTGGCGCTTGCGTGACAATTCGATCTTAGAAAAATAATAAAAACCGTGGGACCCACATAACCAGCTACACACAAAATAATAAAAAAGTGGGGCTCATGTGGTTCCACATGTCATCCTCACTCCATCTTCTCTCTATCCCCCTCTCTCTACCCTGCACTACAAGGAGAAGGGCGGAGCAGCGATGGGCGAGCTCCTGGAAGATGTTCGCCGGTTGGGCCACCGAGCGGGGTTGCTCGCGACAACGACATTCCATAGTCTCAATGGCCCTCCTCACTCCCCAACCCCGTTGGCGACGCTGGGGTGTGGCCGACCACCGCAGCGCCGCCCTCACGACAGCCACGATCTCCCCGCCTGTTGACGAAAAAATCGAACACACCGGCCTGGGAGATCTGCTTAGCTCTTGTGCAGGTCCAAAGATTAATGAGATGCGAGCGTGCCAGTCAGTTTAATCCTGCAACTGGCAAGATTTGCAAATAATAGATCAAACAGCCGATCGGCTGACAAGCCGATGGAGTAGTTCCAGCCGATAGTCGATAATAGCCGATGCCGATACCAGCCGATAGCGATAGGGTTTAAGCAATCGGCTATATGTCCAATGTAGATAATGATATAAAGGCAATCGGCTGATGATAATATAATATAGCAATATAATCCAGTAGAAACCAATCGGCTAACAATATGAAATAGTAGAACAAATATTGATCCGAAGGTTGAAGCACACATCGGTTGGATGTCCGATGTCATAAGATCCACAAGATTAGATTAAACAGTGAAACCTTTGTTGCCATCGGCTAAATCCAACTTATATGTATATGCAATCCTTATGAGCCGATGCAACGTTTAGATAACTCACCGGCTGAAACCCCGATGATACCCTTATTGGCAATCAAGAAGCAGGCTAGAGATTATGGTTCTAAGCACGACTTAGTATATCAAACTTAACTGATGCAGCACTAAGTATGAAAAGAAACATAATATCTAGACAATCAAGCCGTTGACTGAGTTTTCAGGGTGGTAGATGTCTAAGCTAATCTAATCTAGCAACACGATTTAGCCGATACCGGCAGAAACCCTAAAACGAGAAGCAACCGATAGAGCTAAATTGATATGCTAAGGCTAGATTAACAGAGACATATGATAAATAGGTAGGCAAATATATCATCCAAACTAGAGCAATCCAAGAGGTCGAATGTACTGATGCAGCCTCGAACGACGCCGACGTAAACGATACAATTGCCTGGGCCGACGGAACATTGGACTTATCCCTTCGCCGGAGATCGAAGACGATGTAGCCCTGCGTCGGGTGCCAAGTTCCGCTGGACAATAAAATAAAGTAGAAAAGGTAAAAGGTGGCGATGCGCCGAATTATATTGATCGTGGAGATAGATTACATAGACCCCGGGTGTACATATTTATACCCATGGGTTGATACAAGTCCTTGTCGGACAAGAAAGAAACTAACCTAAAGATAAAAGGAAAATATAAAGTCATTATCGGATACTAAACACACTTTCCTAAAGATAAAAGGAAACTAACAAACTATTCCTAATTAATAGATAAACTGCCATGCCGCATCCTCTTTAAACTCGGTCACTTAGGGATAAGCTTCCTTTAGTAGATTGATTTCCTTAACCGAATATAACAGGAATCCGACTATTAGCGACTTGATAACTCCCATCGGCTGATTCCGAGATGCTGCAGCCGATAATGATTCTAAGCCGATGACGTCTTTGTCGATTACCAAATTTCACTGTTAACACCGCCTCACCGAGGTCTCCACCCGCTGTCGCTTCGTTCCGCCGCCGCCCGCCTCGCTTGCCTGCTCCACCGTTCCCATTGCCACCTACTCGCCCGTCCGCCACGCGCCCTTCCCGTTCGCACAGATTCAGGCCGCCGCCTCTTCACTGTTGTCCCTAGCGATGAGCTCTGTTGTCGGCGGGGCGTCGGCAGTGGTGGAGGGGTGGAGATGGTAGGGTTTGAGCGTAGGAGGAGGTCGTTCTCGGCATCGATGCCACCATCTCTACCCCTCCACCACTGTCGAGCCCCTCCCCCCAAGCCAGTCCCTTCTAGGCGTCGGGAAAATCCCCGTCCGACCTCGGTAACTAGAGCAACCTCCTGCTATGCTCCAACCTCATCCACAAGAGGATCCCCGTCTTCCTCCATGCCGGCCACACCGCCTGTGAGTCTTTTATCCTCCAATACCTCGACGACACCTTCCCCGACACCCCCATCTCCTCCCTCCGACGATGTGATGCCTCGACCACCGCAAGGGCTTGCTCGCAAGCATCGCCGCCCTAGACCCTGTACCGTCACCACTGCTGGTGGTGGCACTGACGCGGCTCGGCCTTCTCCTCTGACTCCTCCAACGCCTCATGAAGCTGGAGCAGGGATGGCGAGCTCGAGCTCGTCGGCTCCCTCGCCTCCATCCTCTCCTCCACCGGAACGCCGCAACTCCCTCCTCGCTGCCTCGCTGGCCACCTCCGCCACAATTGCCTCCCTTGGCATATGCAGTCGCCGTTGACTCACCATTGAGAGTGAGGGGGAGGAGATGGAGGAGAGGGGTGAGGTGGAGGAAGTGGGACCCACTAACACACAATTTTATCTTCTTGCTTGACTGGCATATGGGCCCCACATCTTTTGTTTTTATTTTTTTATTTTTTTTCAATTTTGCTCTTTTTTTTTGGATCAATCTGTCACGCAAGCCTCACGTCAATGCATAGTAGGACGAAGACTTAGTCAAAAGATCCACGTCAGCTAAAACCAGGGTCAATACTGCCGAGGGACCTCGTTTGTACTAGTTTTATAAATTAAGGGATGTATTGTCCGGTTTTCTGGACTGGACGACAAATTGAGAGAACTAAAGTGAACTTATTCCACATCCGGTACCTATCCATCAATTGATTTGGATGCCGCAACTGTAACTGACGAGCCTTTCAGCTCTAATAATGTTAATGGTGCACTTTTGCATCCAATCAACATGGCAGCAATCATATACAAGAAACCATGGCAGCGACATGAGTTAATTTGGACATCCTCATTGTCGAAGCAAGATTTCGACAATAATAAAAGGGGGTGACTATCAAGCTAGGAAAGTGGATGGGTTTGGAGACAAGGAATTTTATACAGGTTCAGGCCTTCTTATTCAAGAAGTAATACCCTACTCCTGTCCGGAGATGATTCCGCCGAGTGTGTTATTGATTGTATAAACTGGAAAAAAAGAATCGCCCCCCAAGAGGCACACGGACCCTCCTTATATAGGGGAAGGAGTCCGCTTTACAAAATACAGTCCATATCCTAACGGAATATGGGATTATAGATAAAATACAATCGTAACCGACTAAGATCCCGAGTATTTCCTTGACATACAAGTTTAGAACCTAACCCGAGTCTTCATAGAGATATTCCATCTATATTTGGTACCGTATATCCGACTAAATTACAACTGTTATGTAGATATGGGGTATCCATAATCTCCACAGTAGCCCCCGAGACCTTCACAGTTGACAAAATAGCCTTCTCGAAACAAAAAACAGTAATCTGAGTGCTTCAATTCAACTTGCTCCGGCTTGCCGAGTACTAAAAATCAAAAACTGTGAAGGGCGAAAATAAAACATGGTGCATCGAGTAGATACACCTAATTAGGTGTAGCCCCCGACTATGTGATTAGTTGAAAAACTAAACATATAGTCAAGAACCGAGTGGTTTTATAGCGAAGCACGCATGATACTTAGTAAGATACCTAGCTGACTGCTTCTCAACTTGAGCATATCAAGGACAAAAAATACAAGAAGAGCCGAGTGATAAACACTCAAAGGTCCAAAAATAGACATGTTTGATAGGAATCCGAGTAAAAATCTCATAAAATGACCCACCAAACAGGATAGAAAATCATGGTAATTAATGAGTCCAATAGCCTAGGCTGTGACCCTTACCATAACCAAAATAAGCATATAACATGCTAAAAGAATGACTATTAATAAACCAGTCATCTCAAATCAACCCAAACAGCTTTTGCAGCCTAATAAAGCTTACAAAAAATGGTATAACACCTTTCTGTCGGGCGCCTTTTTATGTGCATCATAATAATTCCAAAGAATTATTGAATCGCGTTAAAAAGGATTTTAACAGCATTGGGCCACACCATCGTGAACACAGATTGCCAAAGCAAAAAGTGCCTAAGTCCCTAGAGATCACAACAGGCCACGCTGATTATAGTATTGGGCTGAAGTACTGTACAGGCCCAGGCCCATTAGTACCCCCGATACCCTAATAACACCGAAGTGAAAAACGTCTCTTCGTCTTCCCCGCCGAAACTCTCGCCATTTTCCCCATTTCCTGCTACAATGCAAAACTGCGCCGGGCAAACTAGGGTTCATCAATCCGCTCCAATCCACCCTCAAAAACTTCACGAAATTTCTCCCCACATCCACCGCTCCGATTCCCCATCCCTTTCCAGCCGTATCTCGAACTAAATCAGACCATCCAGTTCACATTCATGGCGGAAGAAAGAGAAAGCTTCGAGAGTCAGTGGGCGCCCTCCGATGTGACGGAAGACAGTTTGAAGGAGATGGTGGCGCACGGCGTTCTTCCAGCAAAAGAGATCATCGGGTGGCGACCGGCATTT